ACACGCGTGTGCGGGCACGCACGGGGCGGCACTCGCGGGGGTCGCGGTCACAGCCGCGTCCTCAGACGGACACAGCCCCCGGGTTCGCACCCGTCGTTTGCAAACGCGCTCCCTGCCCGGCCGCTGCCCAGCTCCGGCAGCCGCGGGGATCCCCTAGCCCGGGTACCCATTCCCCGGCACCTTCCCGCCCCAAATTCCTCGGCTTTGTCACTCCCTTTCCCCACTCCACCCAACCCGCTCAATTAAGGGCGGTGGCGGGAGCGGGGCTGCAAGAGGCGGTGGCCGAGGGCTCCCCGCCCGCCTCCTTCCCTGCACAAGGTGAAAGAACACGAAAAAAAGGTGAAAACACAGAAAGAGCCCCAAAAAGAGCCGCTTCCCGAGGTTTGGCTTTATTTATCCCTGCCTATCCTTGTGCCTTACAGCCCCGGGCAGGCTGGACGAGCCGGGCGCCCGGCGGGACAGCCGCGGTGCTGGCTCGGAGGGCCAGGGGGGTGCCAGGGGGTGATGGGGTCGCGGTGCCCGCGGCGGGGGGCGCGGGGAGCCGCAGGTGCTGCTGGCGGGAGAGACCCGCAATGGCTGTTTGGGTGTTGCATTAAAGCACGCTGCAGTGCGCACACTGCGGCCCCTCCCCCCACAATCTGCCTGTATGCTAATGACATGCAAAGAGACTCATTTGCATGTTTATCTCTGTCAATGGGCAAGCGTGGCGGGCGCGGTAATACGTTTCCCACCGTGGCGTGGAGGCCTCCCCCCCCCCCCCCGCGCCCCTCACCGCCCCGCCGGGCCGGGGAGGGTCGGGCAGGGCTCGGCTCCGGCCCCACCGCCCAGCCCTGGCACCGAGGCAGGTACTGCCACAAAATGGCTGCCGGGGGGGCCCGCAGCCTCCCGAGCACCCACCTCTGCCCCCCAGCAGCGCCCGGGCCCTCCGCGCCCCCACCCCGCAAAGCCACCTCCGGATTTTGTGCTTAAGCAGCCAATCGGGGGCGCGGTACCCTTCCCCCCTCCTTCCTTCCTTTCTCCCTTCATCCCTCCTTTCTCCCTCCATCCCTCCTTTTCCATCCTCCATTCCTCCTTCTTCCCCTCCATCCCTCATTTTCCACCCTGCATTCCTCCTTCTCCCACTCTATACTCTTCCTTCTCCCGCCTCCATCCATTTCTTTATCCCACCTCTATCCCTCCTTCTACACCCATCATCCTTCCTTTTCTACCCTTCATCCCTCCTTTTCCACCCTCCATTTCTTTTCTACCCTTTATTCCTCCTTCTCCCCTTCCATCCTTCCATTTTCCTTCTCCCTTTCCTTCCTTCCATCCTCTCCTTCAACTCTCCATTCCTTTTACCATCCCTCCTTTTTCCCCCACTTTGTCCCGCTTTCCCCAAACCCAGACCCCAGTCTCCACTGTTTCCACGCACGGGGATATTTTTGATTTCCCATCAACCGGGGGAAAATCCTTCCCATCCTTCCAAGGGGTTCCGAGTCTCCCCCGGCTGCTGATCCCCGGCAATTTGTGATCTCTGTGGGTCGGCCGGCACCGTGTACAGTCCGCGGTGGGTGCGAGTGGGTGCCCCGAGGGGCTCGCCCCTGGTTCCTCTGCTGAGGGGGTGAGAGGTGTTCCCAGGCACGGGTGGGGAGAAGCAGCCGTGCGTACATTCACGCGTGCGGGCCCACGGAAGGGACGGGCATTGGCGGCACTGGTGCGAGTGTGGGGTTTTGAAATAGCCACCAAAAAAAAAAAAAAAAAAAAAAAAAAAAAAAAAAAAAAAAGGCACAAAAAGCGCGGCCTCTCCCACGGCGCCGGAGTGCGCCCACGCCGCTATTTTCAAACCCGCACGTGAGAGAGAAGGGATGTTTTATGGTTTGCGGAGCGGGGAACGCTCTGTCCCCGCTCTCCGAGCGAGGCTGCGGCCACCCCAGCGCACCCTCGGCGGGGACGCGGCACAGCGCGACCTCCCCACACCCCGGGGGCGTCGAGGACGACTCCTGCCTGCAATGCAATACAGCCTTATATGCGCTCCACTCCGTACATAAATAAAGAACACGTACGTCCTTATGTTCCGCTATGGTTTATGGCGCCGTATTATACCACACGGTGCTGCGTGACGCGATGCGACGTGACAGCGCCCGGCCCTGGGCACGGCACGGCCCCGCCGCTGTCCCCGGGCCCGCCCCGAGGCGCCGGGAAGGGCGCCCGCGTCGCTGCGCTGGCCTCGACGGCGGCGTTCGGGGGATCCCCTCCCGTCTCCCTACCCGTTATCCCTCCTCCTCCTCCCTGTCCCTTCTCTGCCTCTTATCCCCTCCTCTCTTTTCGCGCTCTCCCAAACCTCGCTCACTTCCCCGGTGAAGGTGTGTTTGCTCCTTGCATCCGTTATCTCTATTTTAGCCCCGGGAGGTGGAGGGGCATGCGTGTTTACCCTCCCCTCCTTCACCCGAAATTATCTTAGAAAAAAAATAAATCAGCCGAAAACCTAAATCTGCCCGAGGCCCCCAGACTCGCCCCGTCCCGACCAGTTTATTCCAGCACTACCCAGCCGCAGGTAGGGGAAGGGGTGTATTTGTGGGGTCATTGAGCACGCTGTGGCCTCCCCCGCCCCATGCCATCACACCTGTGCACAGGGAGGTGTGACCCGGCTGGGACGGCGCCGCTGACCCTCGGCGAGGGCTTTGCCCCAGGCCCCGTCCCAGAGGGCAGCGGCTCCGGGGGTGTCGGCGCTGCGGAGCCCGGGGGGTGCCGGCCCTCAAAGGCCCCCCAGCCCCGCGCTCCGCTCCCCGGGTGGGTGTTCCCCTCCCGAGGGGGGCGGAGAGAGGCAGGCCGGGGCAGAGGCAGGTTTGGGAAGGCCGCCTCCCCTGGCTTTCCGACTGCCCCCGCCAGGCAGTGTCCCAGCCGCGCCCGGCCGGGGTGGGTCCGCACGCCCGGGGAAGGCCGGCTCGGAGCGTGCCCCGGGCAGGGCTGGTTTTGCCAGGAGTATGTGGGAGCCCCTACAGAGAGACACCCTCCCATCGCTCCCCGAAAGCTGCTGTGTCATCACGCCCCGAAGCAGAGGCAGCCCCCCAAAAGCGAACGGGGGGGTGTGTTCCCTTACCTGAGCGCTAGCCCGGGGGAGCCACGCGGAGCGGGGGTTCTGTGTTCGGCTCGCGTTCTCCTGCCGTGTCCCGCAGCAGAAACTCCCTCCGGCCGGGGCCGGGGTCCGTGCGGGGGAGCCGGGCTGGGCCGGGGGGACCCCGCGGCCGGGGAGAGCCGCACACCCCGGGCCGTGTTTATATGTAGAAAGAAGGGTAATTTGAGTGCTTATACCAAGAACCGGGGTTGTTAAGTTTGCAGGCAGACAGCTAAACGGTGCCAAGTGCGGGCAGGGAGGGGGGTGCGGGGGGGAGGCTGGGGGTGTGTAAGAAATAAAGAGCAATTGTCAGAAGCGAACAAAAGGCGGAGGATGGAAAGGAGCTGGGAATCCCAGGGCAGAGCCCCTCGGCGTGGACTTGAACTTGGGCTTTGACACCGTCTGCCAGGCGGAGAGCGGCTTCGGGCCGGGCGAGGCGGGCTGCGGGGGGAGCGACAACAGCCCCGGCAACGCAGAGAGGGAGCAAACACCCTCCAAACACGCACCTTAGACGAGGCGAGGGGGCACTCTGCTTCAGAATGCGGCTGAGCCGGGGAATAACCCAGACGGGCTGAGGCCCGACGGGCTCAGCGCACCTCGCGGCGCAGAGCGGGGCGGCGGCGGGGGGACCCCGTCGGGGCTGGCCGGGGCCAGACGGTCGGGGGGGCCGCCCGGTTCTCACAGTCTGCGCCCGAGCCTGGATTCTCTGCACGTCCCGGCCGGTCCCCCCTTTGCTACTATTCAGCACTTAATTGAACATTAATGGCAGCTGGGGATGAGGTCATTGGAGCCGGCTTTTCTCACACATTTTTCATGCAAATCCGCTAAACTCTAAACAAATTTGAATAAAACCCCCTTTGTGCAGGCCCTCCATGGTGTTTTTCCACGGGCCGCTCCGCCTGTCTCCGCACACTTCATCCGGGGAGGGGGGAGCGGCGGGGAGATGAGGGGGTGTGGGGGGGTCTCTGCTCGGGCCTGGAGCGGCAGGCAGACCCAAAGAAGCTGCGTCCTCTGCGAGGCTCTCAAGCCCAGATCGCCCCCAGGATGCCCACTGCACCAGCAGGGCCCTGCACTGTGCCATCATCACTTGCAGCCCCCCTACAGCACCAGTTCCCCCAGTAATATCCATTAGCAGCGCCAGTTCCCCCTGAAACGCCTCCACAGCACCAGCCTGCCCCCAGAAGCATCAGTTCTCCTCCATCTCACGCTAATCCCCCACAGCAATACCACCCCCTCAAGCACCATCAGCCCCCCAGCAACCCAAATTCCTCCCAGTTCCACTGGTGTCCCCACCCAGCACCCCTCGCCGTATTGGCAATCGCTGCCTCTCTGTGAGGTGGTTTTTGGGTGCTCAGGGCTGCACAGGCAGGAGCACGCAGCCCCCCCGGCCCCCCTGCTCCGCAGCCCCCGCGCAGCCCCCATTAGCATCCCCGCGCCCGGCCCCCTGCCCAGCCTTGAACTTGGCCATGCCGGGCTGCGCTCCTTCTGCCTGCCTGGGCTCGCACAATGCCGGCCTTGACCCATTGTTTGCTTTTTTCGGATTTCAGCTGGGAAAGCGGCCACCTCGCGCAGCCTGCCCTGAGCACGCCGGGAGCGGGGCACAATGGGGAACCCTGCTCTGCAGGCAGAAGGGCTCCAAATCATTTGAGAGACATATTCATTATATTCTTTCACGGGGGTCTGTTTGCATTGGGTTTAGCGGTTACTTCCCAGACGGGGTTCAGACCAAATAAAGATCATTGAGCGGCGAGGGATTCGCTCGGGCTTTCAGGGAAATGTGCCTGATGCGGGGCACGGCGCAGCCCGGCTGCCTGGCCCTCGGCTGCTCCCCCTTCCCTCTTGATTTGCCTGGGTTTATTTTGTGCCTGTTGCCTCCTCCGTCTAGAGACTGCACCAAATCACACGCTGGCTTTTGCAAAAGAGAGAGTTTATTTTCAACAGTGCATGGGGTTGGGAGGATTTGAATGGGAGAGAATTACAGGCAGTACATTTCTCTTACAGGAACAGAGAGGGTGCGGTACAACAGCAGCAGGGCTGCATGGCCTGGAAAAGCTCATGGTCCTCTGGGCCCCAAGCACAGTGCCTTTGGGAAGGCTGCACTCCCACAGCTCCACAGACCCAGGGATCAAGAGCAGCAAGGGCTGAGCTCTGCTCCATGAGCAAAGACAAACTTCACACAGCTGGTATTTCACCAGGTGAGACAGTGACTGGCTCAGGTCTCTCTGCCTGAGCACTTTGGTCCTGCTCTGGGGTATTGAGGGCACTGAAGGCAACGTACAGGAGTGATGATGTGGGATGATCCCTTGGCTCCCTGTGCTGCCCTGGCTCCCTCCCCATGGCTGCACCGCTGTGTTCCGAAGTGATGCAGAAATCCACTGTGTTCACGAGACAAAGCTGTCTCCTCTCTGGGGCCAATGGAGAAGGAGGTTGGGACACTTCTGGAGAAACTCAGAGAAGTCAGATGGCAAGTCCAGGCAGGTGGCAGTCAACTAGAAGAAGGAACTCACAGGCTTCAAAAGTTCCTTGTCCACTCACTGGGATCTAGGAAGGAAAGAAAGAAAATGGAGTGGTTATGATCTCCGTCAGAGAAATGGTCCAGTAGTGCTTGGCTGAGAACAAACCAACTTGTCCCTGGTGGAGCAGAACTCCAATCCTCTTTCCCTCCCCACCACACCTTTCTCATGGCTCTGGACCACCTCACCCTCTTCCTTACTGGGAAAACTGTAGTCCCCAAGATGCCAAGCTTCCCCTGCACCCTCCTCAATCCACTACCTCTGCCTGCCCCGCACACCGCCAGCCAGGGGAGGGCTCGCGGCTTGTCCTTCCTCCCTAGGCTTTGGGGCATGGGATTACTCTGCATGTCAGAGCCACTAAAGGCACAGCCCTCTGATGTTTTAATCTTCGTGTTAACTTTCCCTGCCCTCGGCGCCCTTGCCTGACTGGAGAAAGTGATACCAAGCCACCGAGCTGGAGCCGAAGCTGTGACGCTCAGCCCAAGTCCCCTTCTCGGCTTTCCCCACGCCTCCCACATCTCACACCTTGCAGCACGTTCTCCTCCCTTTTTCCTGATTTTTTTCATCTATTTCCTTTACACTTTATCCATGTTGAGTGTGTATTCCCTAGCCCCCAAACCAGTCCCACCCTTTTCCTATCTTCCCTTTGCTTTGCCCACAAACAGTTACACTGGAAGGAGCAAAGACTAATATAACAAATCCTTGAGTACACTTGCAAAAGGAACCATCAGCTGGCTAATTTATTCTTTTTATTGCACCAAATTGTAATTTTATAAAATATTGCAAATTTTATAAAATATTTGCAGGCCCATTTTAAGAGATAAATCTTGTGTATGGCTCTCTAATGAGCCGCCCTGGGAGCAGCCGGCATGTGATCTGCTGTAGGTCGCACCGCGACGTTCCCAGGCTGTGACTGGATGAACCACCGTAACTCTTTGAACTGTGCAAATACTCTACACTCTGGGGTCCAGGCTGCAATTTTCATGGGTATTTTTTCTCTCTCTTAAAAATAGATCTTCTGTAACCCCTTTATTGCAATATTCATAAAGCACTTGATGGAAATCCAAGGAAAATCCCTTCCCTTCTGCAACTTTGAAGCAAGCCTAAAACTTAAGAGAGGCAGAGGCCAAAACCACCCCGTGTGGTTGGGTTTGGTGCTGAGAGGACAGACCCCATGCTGCATGTGTTTAGGGAGACCCAGGCTGCAAAAAGCCAAGGCTCAGCACTTCTTTATCCTATGTGAGATTAGGAGTCATTCCAAATGTTGCCCCAAGCCTGGAATGGATGTTGAGGTCAGGACAGATGAGATCTGAATGATGATGGTGGGTGCTTTCACAAGCCCAGGAGAGGAGGAGGCAGATGAATCCTTGTTCTCACCAGGGAAAAGCCTTTACCTGGCAGGTAAAGTCCCCTGTCCTGGCTGAACTTGTTTTGTCCTACAAGAAACTCTTCTGTAGTGTGGATAGAGGGGATGCTCGTTGGTACCAGACATCAACCCAGCCTGGAAATCACCCACTGCCTGCCTGGTGGGCTTGAAACTTCTGGCACTCAGTAACTGAGGGCAGGAGGGGCTGGACCAACCCAACTGACTCGACATAAGCTTCAGGAAAACTCAAATGTCCTGCATGCACTTTCTCTCTGTGCAAAGTTCAGCCTTGCACTGAGGGTGCCTGCAAAAATAGGGCTCCACCAGGACCCAGTTCCAGCCCCAACACTGCCTTCCCTCCCCAGTGCCCTGCACAGGGAAAACATTGCTCTGTGTGTGGATTTACTGTCCTTTTTTTCTTTTTTTTTTTTTTAAAGCTGAATAAACAATTGCAATTATAGCTCAGCCTCTGCCCCAACACTTGCTCCAGTGCCTCCTTGTGCCTTTACAAAGCCAGCACTGAGGTTTATATGCTGATAAACTGCCCTGCCACAGCAATTCTGGGCGGTGGGAAGAGAAAAAAAAAAACCCCTCAAATAATGGTAAATGGATGCAGAACGCTCTGCCTAATCAGATTCCTGTCCCCTATTGAGGCCAGGAAGGAGGGACCCTGCTCCTCCCCTGCCCTCAGCCCAGCCTCCGCTTCACCGGCTCACACGGAGAAACTTTCTGGACAATTTAATCTCGACAGGGTGTTACTTAGAAAAACCTTTTTCACTGTCAATTTTTTTCCCCCCTCCCTTCCACCCCCCCCTTTTTTTTTTCTTCCCTCCCAGCCTTGATTGAATTTTGCAAGCCCCTGATATCTTTCTTTTTTGTAGGGATGCACGCTGCTTATGCAAATACCAGCCTTTCATACCAGCCTCCCTGGCTCAAGCCCTCCAACTTGAATGTGACCAAAAGCTGTGCTCTCCCCTGCTAACTCCTTAGCACAATTACACGTCCATTCTGCTCCAGGGGCCCGGGGAGGGGGAAAAAAAAAATCATTTTAAACTAATAACACGTGCTGTTTGCTTTGGATAATTACAAGGGAGCTTCGGCTTCTAAGAGCTATGAAATATTCCGTTCAGCGGGGCGGGAGGGAGGCTCCGTGTTCCGCCTACGCCGCGAGTTTTATCTCCTGACGGAGATGCTCGCGCGGCCTCTCGAGGCTCCCTCCATCTCGTGCTCATCCTCTGCACCTGGGCAAAGCATTTACATTTCCTACGGAGCAACCTGGCGCTGCTTTGGGCTACAGGAGAGAGGAGAAGGCGCCTGACATTTTCCTTATCTCAAGTTACAATTTCCTGCAAGCATCAAGATAATAAAACATCGGAGATGGGCAAGATGAGCGAAATGAATGCGGCGGCTGAGGCTCCCGCAGCAGCGCGGGAAGGGCCGGGCAGAAAGGACACCCGGGGGATGCGGCTGCTCCGCTGGCTCTCGTTTGCATCGCGGCCCTGACGTTATTGTCCTCCTGCCTTGTCTGCTGGGGAAGTTTATGTGGAGGGCTTTTTGCTGGGGCGAGGAGGAGGAGGGGAGTTTTCCCCAAAAGCACCCAGGAATCTGTCAAAAGAGGGACAGAAAAGAGAAGAAGAAGAAGAAGAAGGGAGACAGAGAGTGGGAACGTCAAGGACCCCTGACTAATGAATAGCAAGTTTGCCCTTGAACCTCCCTGGGCTTTGCCATTCCCAGGCTCCAAACAAGGGCTGATGCATGCTTGGGCCCAGCTGCAGGGGGACCGGGCTATGGTTCATCTCAGACACTTTGACAGCCCGGGCCTTTTCCCCACATAGCTCAGACTCGCCTAACTACTCCCCTGGCAACAGCTCAGTGCAGGAACCTGCGCTGAGGCCCTGCCTGCTGCATACAGAAGTACGAGGAGGAGGAGGGGAGCCGCTGGGAGAAATTAGCTAGAGACTGGCTTAACCCATCAAATGCTGGGCAGGCGCTGCCAGCCCCAGCACCCTTTGCTCGGCCCCAGCACCCTCCAGGCACCCCTGGGAGCTCACTGGCCAGTATCTGCAGCGGAGCTGGAGAGGGGCAGGGGTGGGTTACACGTGCAGAATCGACGTGCATCACAAATCCCACGACTTGCTGCTCCACCACGACCCAGTGCCTTGGACCTCGTGAGTGGGAAGGTCCTCATGGTGCCAGGGATGTGGGAGGGAGCCAAAGTAGCCAGCTGGAAAAGGCTACTGGACACTGAGAGGAAAGGGCACGGCCTCTCCCCGGTGTGGTGGGACAGGGCATCCCTCCCTGCCAGCCAAAATGAGGGCAGGGGCTGGATGAGAGGCACAAACTTGCCTTGGATGCTCTTTCTGCATTGCAGATCAAAGGCTGAGGACGAGCTGGCCTTAGGGGTCTGCACTGAATGGCTGGAGAGAACAGGCACAAGCACCCGGCGGCTCTAAAATGCGACCCAGAAACGTTCCCACATCCCAGCCCCATATAAATCAAGGGGGGAAAAAAGGGGGAGCTCCATCCCAGCCTCTGTTTTTACAGAGCATCTTTCATGTGCAGCCCCTGAGAGAGGGCTTTGCCGAGCTTGTTAAGGATGGCTCCTGCGCCAGGCAGAGAGGGGGACGCACCATATGGAGAGGAGAAAAAGAAAAGGGGACACTGAAAATGGAAAATTATGCAAAGCAGGAGGAGAGGCACTGGGGGAAAGGGGGGAGGGAGGCAGCAAGGAGGTGGGGGATGGGGAGACAGGAGGCTGGAAGTGAGCCCTGACTTGGGGAACACCATTAGCTGGCACTGGGCTGCATGAGGAACAGAAGTTTCCTGTGACCAGGTGCAGGACAGCCCTTTGTACCCTTGGGTGCTGTCACTGGAGGGCATTTCTGCAGCCTGGCCTTCCCTGAAAGGGTCTGGGCTGTGCCACGGTGATGCCCAGCTGGACTGGGGTGGGTGCACTCTGTTTCTGGAGCTGTGCTGCACTGGGAGACGCAGCAAAATGGGGTCTGTGGTGACCTACTTCAGAGGTGTCCTGAGAACTTCTGTTACTATAGCAATGAGGGTGCAACCAAACATTATGGCCTTTTGGACAAGAGTTCTGCTTGTCATCAACCACAAAAACCAGATTCATGTAAGGAGGTGCCAGGGCATTGTAAGAAAAGGCTCTGACCAACAGCAATGATAGCAAGGGCCCAAACTGCCCTTGGGTCTCAGCTGCCCGTGCAGTGAAGGTGGATGCTTGGGTGGGTGAAAGGAGAATCCAAATTCAACAGCCAGAGCTCTTCCCTTCCCCTTGGACCCTGCAGAGTCCTGGTGCTGCAGGGTGAGCGGCAGGCCCAGTGCAGCTCAGGGAGGCTGTGCAGGCATTCCTGTCCAGGCTTGTGTTACTGCCCAGCTTGTGCTCAAACTCCAGCACTGCCCTAACCTGGTGTTTGGAGAAATGACTCCGCTCTTCCCATCCCAGGTGTAGGGCTCCTTTTCCCTATCCTGGAAACACTGGCCTCCTTTGGGGAAACACCCACCTTGTCACTGTGACAGCTTCTTTTTCCCAAAGCCACTCTGTGCCCCAAACTTGTGGCACTCTGCTGGCTCCCTGCCATGGGCCATGACCACCTTGCACATCCTCACTGGGTGCAAGCCCCTTCTCCAGCCCATCTTCCACCCAG